TTATGGCTACATACCTCTAAACTGTACATTTAAATGAGATTACAACAGTAAATTTTATATTATCTATATTTCACCACAATAAAAACATTGAAACAAAGGAAATAAGAACTATCAAAAATAATGCTTGGTGAATTCCTTTAAAAAAATTTTATCAAGAATGCGAAAAGAGTTGGGCAAATGAACTTACAATACAGAATAAAAAGTATGCCTTCATTACTTTACCATTAACCTGAGCATAATTTTATGTATAGCATACTATAAATTTATATAATGGAATGGTGTGTTGGCTTTTATTCTTTCATAGACCTTTTTAGAAATTCTTCATCTGGTGTAGCAATGGAAATAATCTCTGTCCTGGTCTGAACTGGAGTTCTCTGTATCTTTTTATATTATTTCTGTTGCTCCTCTTCTGTGTGAACCATTCCATACAAGGAAACTGTTCCCATAGCTTGGCCTGTATTCTCTATCTTTGCTAATTAACTAGTCTATTGTTCACTCTAAATAGTCTAATCAAAGTTTAATAAATTTATTATATTATGAAATGTAGCATAATGTGTAAATGATATAGATATAAAAGGGTATTAAATACATACTTTAATCAATTTTTATAAAATGAGCAATCACCATACAGATTTATAAATAGAAAATTGTCAGCACCTCGAAGCCCTCTACATGCCCCTTCTTGATTATAATAGCTTCATCTATTCTTGTATTTTCCTTCCTAATTCTGTTGAAATCACTCTCTGGCTTTTCTTTACAGCGTCATAACTAAGGTCACTTTGCCATCTGTATCCAACCCAGAGAAAGACAAAGATAATGTGGAAAGGGCACATTTTGGTCTTGAATTGGTGTTCATCATATCTAGAACAGTCACATGCCACAACACACTGGGGAAAAAAAGCAACTAGGTAATATGTGTTCTGGAAGAAGAATGAAAACCAGCAATCTCTGCCACACTGGGTTAATCATATTGGTGTCTGCCAAATATCACTGATGTGAGAGTAAATAATACATTGAGTGTGACCACTGATTGCTGGCTTTGGAGCCTAAAAAGTGCCTAAAATGATAATGATTACTTTAGGCCACCCTTATGTACTTTTATGTATTGCATAGGCTGCAGTAAAACAAGAACATAATCATACACCCTAAAGTAGGCAGTAGAGTTATATAACATGAAATGTGAAGATTACTTTCAGAACAGTTTTCTTATTGTTTATCATTCACTGATTTTTAAAGTAGGGAATTTCTGTATAATTTTTTTTAAAAACCTGATAGTGATAGAATCAAAACACCCGAGTCCCCGTCTCAGCTCTACCATGTATAAGTTATGATTTAAAACAAGCCATGAACATCTCTGAGTACCAGGCTCAACATCTACGAGATGGGAACTGGAATTCTCTCCCCTGTTTACCTCCCATTTCTTCAGTGAGGAGCACAGAGCAAGACAGATAGAGACTTGCAGAGGAAACTGTGCACAATAGTCCTCCAAAGAACAATTGTAACTCCTACACATATTTGTGCTGATATTTACAGGGGTTGACCCAACATTATTTCAGAAAGAGACTTTAAACAGTGAAAGTGATTCCTCCAGTCTTTCCCTCACTGAGGGTTATGTGATGCTCTCCCTTAGGTCTAAAACTTCCTCACACTGAGATTCTAATGCATAAAGGTGCATATTTTGCAACACATGGCTCTCAAATATAAAACACTTCATCTAGTGTGCAGCTGAATTAATAGTGAACTGTCCCAACACTAGACAGAAAGACAGACTGTACCAACTCAAGGAAAAATACCATGTCAGTCCCAACATGTACACGGCACCAACACTGTCAATTTTTAGGAAAAATTTAACTATATAAAACTGTTTAAAAATCTATCCACATGTAAGATGTAACTCTATGTTGTATTGTGAAAATCCCCCTTTATATTTTCCTCCTTACCATGCTTAATTATGTTGGTGACATACAGAACATTGCAACAAGTTGCCAGGCACTTAGCAAGTACAAAATGCTTACTTTCTGTGTGTGTACGTGTGTGTGTGTGTGTGTGTGTGTGTGTGTGTGTGTGTGTGTGTGTGTGTGTGTGTGTAGTGTAAAAAGTTGATATAAAGTAAAGTACAGAGTGGACATCAATTGATACTCGGGTTTGAAGAAGCAAAGGGATATAAAACCCCAAATTCCATTTGCTTCTGGCTTTCATTAGCTCTTAACCAGAGTGTACTCTGATCACACTAATTTTGAACCTAATCCTGAGCAGTAATAGTAGTTTGCTTAAAGAAAGTTTGCATTAAACCAATTCACCATGTAGTCAGCAAACTTTATTTCTGGCCCTTAACTAGGAGGCCATCATTTTCTTTTATCACACAGAAATTCTAAGTTTTCATACTGACTTAGAAAAATCCCCCTCCTAGGATGTAGGTAGAGGAAAACTCCATGGCTTGCCTGTTTAAATCTCAGCTGTGACTATTTCAAAAGAATTATACTTTTTCGCATAACTTCTTTAACCTCATTCACATTTTTTCAAAACTACAAAGTGAAATTCTGTGTTGTGCATATAAAACACAAAAAATCGGTTTGCCTGTTTTTTAAAGAAAACAAAGTTGATACATATTGCTGAAAGTTGCTGATTGAAGGACATCAAAAGTTGCATCTTCAAACTGCCACACTTAATTTTTGTAATGTGTCTTCGTATTTTTTATTTTTATAAAAAATAATCTTGATAAACAAAACATAAGTATTAAAGAAAGTTTAGCTTTTCTGAAATCAAAACATATTTTATGTGTATTTTGAAGCTCTTTGAGTGAAAAATTAGTGATTCCATTGAATCCACTCTGAGCCACCTCAAATACTAATAAAATAACTAACAGAGTAGAGCCTCTGCAATGTCTACAAACCATCTCAAATAGCAGAGATATTATTACTTATTTAGGAACACTCTCCTATTAAAAAGAACAGTAGGTATAGGAAATCTGAATAAAACTCCAACCAAGATAAACTATTTTACATTAATAGAACATCTGGTGTGAAAATCAATGAAGATGATATCAGGGCTAGCAAATGAGGTATGAGTGGTCATTTCAAATTATAAGTCAAAGATTTGGCAAAGCCAAACATAAATGAACAAACAAACAAAAATTATGTTAACTTTCATAATACTGACATGTTGAATGGAGATCAGAAAAAATGGTAAAATAGTAAATATTGTTACAGTTATGTTAGAAAATGTTGAAACTGTCAATTGATTAAGGACTTTAAGAATAGTTTGTTTTTACCAATTTTCTCCAAAGGGAAGAAAACAACACCCGATTCTAGAAAATAAATTGTCACCATTTATTCACCAGACATTTCTTTCAAATTATGATTGCTTTCCCAACTGCTCTATGAGGTTTTAGTACCTTAAAGTCTATATGAAAATAGCAAATGAAAACCAACAAAAACAGCGTGATTTAGTTGTTCCCAGATCTTCCCACCCTTAGATGTAACCTTTCTTTAATATTAGATAACTTCAGTTATCATACTATTAAGAATAATTCTGTGGTCATCATATTTGTAGAGCCTTCCAATTTAGAGAAGAGTGCTGTAGACAGTAGTTTTAATGTTTTTATCATTTTGCTTTCTAAATTGCTTCTACATAATTTGAGTTTCAATTAACACTCACTATTTTTCCTCCTGAAATTGAGGTCTTTTTTCTTCCCGCTTCCCTACAAATGTGGCACACGTTTTTCACATTCATTCCAAAGCATTTTTAACGTATGGTCACTGTGCATTACAAGTTTTATCAGATACTTATTATAGTGAAGGATATTATAGTATTCTATAGAACATATACAATTTCAGGTGAAAAAGTGGTTTCTAAATCCTCATTGACTACTCCCTACAGAGGCACCTCTATCTATTGGCTGTGTGTCTCTTTGAGTCTTACATAATGACATGTTGCTGGACTCCTATTTTCCCTCCTTACTCATGTTCTCTAAATTGCAAACACCTGAAAACATTTCCAGTTATTAAAAAAAAAATTGCACAAAAATTCAGTTCCCTACTCAAACCATTTATCTGTTAACTATCCTACCAAAACAGCCCCCCTCTTTCACAACAAAAAGAACCATCAAACTGTTTTCTAGAACAAAAATAAAGGCCATTCTGGGAAAAGTAATCTATTCTTTAGAATAGATTAAACTCTACTCAACTTTTAAAAACAGTGTTTTCTCAACAGTGTTTCATGTTTAGTGGGTAAAAATAATAAAATGAAGTAAACAGAAGGTATACCAGAAAAAATAGTAGACTTATAATCAGAATGTTATTCGTTTATTCCAGACTTTTTCATGAACAGGCTGTATGACTGTAAGTAAATTATTAAACCTTCTAAGCTTCAATATCCCATCTATGCAATACATTTATATTGGTGATCTACCATGAGCTGCTTTGGGTGTACAAAGCTAAATGTACAATTTATGCCAAAAGAAGCTTAATGTGTAATGTTTTCAACTACAGAGTGGTTTGTATTTGTTAGATCTTATGGAACCTTGTATATCTGTGAAACACTGGCATTTGAAAGGGACATGACACTGGCCAGTGGATGATAGAAAGACAAGAGTAAAGACAGATTTTCTGGCCTATCTTTGTAGTGGCACATTACAAATTTTAAAAAAGAACCCCATAGCCACCAATGGCATATTGTCATTCTAGTGTTTTACTTTATTTAATTATTTGCAGAACCATTCATCTTTTCTGGGAGAAGAAAAATAATGTTCATAATGGTAATTAAGGAAAAAAAACACCCTCACCTTTATAATTAAACAGGAAAAAAAATGATGTAAAGGGGAAAAACTTGTAAATGATGAGAGGAAAATCTAGTATTAAAAATGTAGAGAAATTGAAAGAATACTCAACAAACCATCATCATGACAAATAATAGGACAAATGTTTGCTGTTAAACTATTGCAATAAAATACAGAGACTCCTGGTCCTGTAACCACATGAATAGGCAGATACTGGTTCAGGTTAAAACTTTCTTGTACTCAAGGCTTTCCTCAGGGCAAATTTAACATATCTATTCCTCAAGCTGTATATTAAGGGGTTCATCATGGGAACCACATTGGTATAAAAGACAGAAGAGATTTTTCCCTCACTCATAGACTCAGCAGAAGATGGTTTAAGATACATAAATGCACCAGACCCAAAGAATAGAAAAACAGTAATTATGTGGGAACTGCAGGTGCTGAATGCTTTGAACCTGCCCTCCTTGGAGTTAATATGGAGAATGCTAGAGACAATAAAAGCATAAGAGATAAAGATGGTGACACTGGGCACAATGATGTTAATGCCCACCACAATGAAAACCACCAGCTCATTGACGTAGGTGCTGGTGCAAGAGAGCTGGAGTAGTGGGAGGATGTCACAGAACTAGTGGTTGATAATGTTTGCATTACAGAAGATCAGTTTCAGCATGCCTCCGGTATGGGCCATGGCACCAGAAAAGGACAGCAAGTATGAACCAAGCATAAGACTGGAACACACCTGAGGAGACATGGTGATGTTATACAAAAGTGGATTGCAGATGGCCACATAGCGATCATAGGCCATTGATGTCAGCACATAGCATTCAGAAATCGCAAAGAAACAGAAAAAGAAGAGCTGGCACATGCATCCAGTATAGGAGACAGTATTCTTCTCTGAAATGAAGTGCATCAGCATTTTAGGTGTAAACACAGAAGAATAACAGAAGTCTATGATGGACAAGTTGAAGAGGAAAAAGTACATGGGGGTGTGAAGATGTGAATTAAATACAATTAGAGTTATCATGCCCAAGTTTCCCATCAGAGTGATCATATATGTCACTAGAAACAGGAAGAACAGGGGGAGTTGGAGATCTAGTTGGTCTGTTAACCCCACCAGAATGAATTCAGTCACGAAAGAGCCATTTCCAGAAGCCATTTGTCTCTAAGAGAATCTGTAGACAAAGGAGAAAGGGGCTGCATTAGAGTCAAGTGAACTCTTTGTATAATATTTTTTTCTACAACATGGAATATTGCTGGGATTATTCAAAACATGTCCAACCTTGACCCACAGAATCTGCCTTTACCATTACCATGATACTGAGTAATACTGATGTCCCCTTATCAACAGCTTACTAAGCTAAATATAGCAAAGTGCACCACCAACTAACCCTATGGAGTAAAGACCAAAACAAACAAACAAAAAACCAAGGGAGAAGAATAGAGCAAACAGAATTGTCCTTCTTTCATGTCATTTCGTTATTCACTTAAGCCTTTCCTCCACCAGTAAAATTAGAGGCAGAGGCTTTAGCAACCTTGTGTTAGCCTATAATATAGATTATACTCTGCTCAGGTAGAAAATGAGATTATTGTTTCTCATCCCAAACAAAGAACCATAGTCTAGGAATGGTTAAGTTACTGCCCCATATCACAGAAATGTCATAAATCTAAAAGAGGGAGAATTCTGTTCACAGAGAGGGAAATACTAACCGAGATACTACATCTCCTAAATTCCCTAATGTGTCTGAGCATACTCAGCCCCTCTCTTGAACAGATTATTATACCAGTTGCACTTGAGTCTCGAGTGCACATAATAGAAAACAAAGTGTAAATCTTGTATGTCTGGAATTCCACCTCAAAGCTAGTAAGACATTAATATAAATGAAATTTAGAAATTCACCCTTCTTATGCCCAAAATGCTTTGGTGCTTTTCCTATTGTTTACTTACCTCTGAGGTCTTGGAAGGGAAATTTCAGGCTCTGAGGTTTTTTAAAAATTTTATTTATTTTCATTTATTCTGAGAAGATGCAGCTGTAACTATTTCCAGTATGTATTGGAAATATTTCTAAACTACAGGTAATAATTATGATTATAACTTTGAGTCCTCTCAAGCAGCAGAGAAAAATAAAGTCTTTATTACTATTGCATTTGCCACACAAGAAGATTTACTGTGAGTTTAATGATACAATGCACTTGGTTATAAAAGAGTAAAATATTGCTCAGTCTCTTCCTTAGGGAACAGACTTCAGGAGTAACAGAGAAATGAGGGAATTGTATTTACTACCTGAACCATAATCTGTCTTTAATTGCTTAGGGACTCAATATTTAACTCAAGATTTTCCTTCACTCTAAAGATAGTACATCTGCCAAGGCAGAACCAAAAATAAATTCTCATCCCAGTAAGATGGTGCAATAGTTCCCCCCATGAATACAGTAATTCTACAAAAATTCATAGACAGATTTCATTTGTGAGATTTCTAAAAACCTAGTTATAATGCTCCTACATCCCAGTCTAGTATACAATCAGTCACACTGAATCTGATGGGAACATTTGCCTTATCCTGGCCTAGGATCTTGCAATTGACACAAAAGTTTCGCCCTGGGAAGGGCATTGACATGCACCACCTTTACTGCAGGTTATAAAGAATACTGTTGTCTAATAAGCCTGTCTCATAGCACTGACTCCACAGGACATGGCACACTCTGATCACCAAGGGCCAGTGAGAATAGAGAAAGTAATTTAGACTAGCAGTCACCATAGCCACTCACCTTGGCTTAGTACAGTTGTAGCAGTTAAAAAAGAAAAAAGAGAAAAAGAAATCTTCTAACTTCTCCCTATAGTTGGAAAGAAGTATAGTACCCTTCTAATGGCTTATCATTTATGGAGACTATCAAGAGGACTGGATACTGTCTAGGCAATATCAAAGTACTGACAGCATGCAGGACACAGCATACTCTAGCTTCCTGGGTCCAGTGAAACAGGATATGGCAGTTTTAGCTGGTAATCACCATAGACCCTTCCCAAATTCATCACAGAGGCTAGCAGTTAAAAACAATTCCAGCTTTCAGTATTTCCCTAAGGAGTGAAAGAGGTACATCATAATTCTGGTGACCCAACTTATCTGGGGGTTACTCAAATAATAGGCCTCTGTTTCACTTGTGTGAGAGCATTGACTGGACCGGGCACTCTCTGGATACCTGGAAGCTACTAAAAACAAAGATAACTAGTGAGTTCTACAGAGCATTTAATTCCAACACTTAAACTCTTCCCTAAAGGTAAAGAAGAGGGAACATCTCAAAATTTATTTTTATAAAGTCAGCATTACCTTGATACTATAGGCAGACAAAAACAACACAAGAAAAGTCTTCTCTCTTTTTATTTCTTAGTAGTCTTAACAGTTTCTCAATTTTTTTTTCAAAAAACAAACTTTTTGTCATTTTTATTGTTTTTCTATCGTCTGTTTGATTTATTTCTGGTCAAATCTTAATTTCCTGCCTTCTTCTAAATTGTAGTTTAACAAACTTATTTTTTTCTTTTGTTTTTGGTTCCTTGATATACAAAGTTGTTTGAGTTTTTTTTAAAAATGTGTTTATTGTTATAAGCATTCCTCTTAGCACTGTTTTCACTGTGTGTTGTAAGTTTTGATATGCTGTGTTTTTGTTTTTGTTTGTCTAGGTATATTTTTAAATTCCCTTTTGACTTCCTCTTTGACCTGATGTTTGTTCAAGAGTATGCTGTGAGTTTCCATATATTCCTTAATTTTCCAATTTTCTTACTATTATTAATTCATAGTTTTATTTCTTTGAACTTGGGAAAGATATTTGGAATGATCTTTATCTTCTCAAATTTGTCCAGACTGATTTATGACCTAACATGTGAACTGTCTTACAGAATGTTCTATGTGTTCTTGAGAACAAAGTGTATTCTTCTACTGTTGGGTGAAAAGTTCTCCAACTATCAGTTAGGTTCATTTTGTCTGTAATGTTGTTTTGTTCTGCTATTTTCTTAACTTTCGCCTTCATTGTAGAGAGTGGAGAAATAAAGTTTTCTACTATTATTTTATTGAAGTCTATTTATCCATTTAGATCTGTCAGCGTTTGCATTATATACTTAGGTTATTTAATGTCAGACACATATATATTTATAGTTGCTATCTGCCAATTCACTTTCAGTCTGTGTGTCCTTAAATCTAAGTTAAGTCATTTGTAGATAGCATATAATTGGGTCTCAATTTTTTAATCAATTTAACCATTATATGTCTTTTGACTTAGGCGTATAGACCATTTACATTTATAGTAATTATTGATAAGTAAGGATGTACTCTTGTTCCTCTCTTCTCTTGTGATTGCGATTTGATGATTTTTTTTATAGTCATATACTTTGATTTTTTCCTCTTAATCTTTTTTGTATTTATGTTACCATGAGGTTCTCATCAAAAATTTTATAATTATGATGGTTGTTTTAAGCTGATAACAACTTTAATCATATGCATATTTTGCAATTTTTTCCCATATACACACAGCCATTATGTGATTGATGTCAGATTTTAAATCATTCTATATTACATTTTCATTAAAAATATATGTGGTTATAGTTATTCTTACTACTTTTGTCTCCTAATTTATATAGCAGTGTTAAAAGTAATTAATACGCCATCATTAAAATGTTACAATATTTTGGTTTCTTTATATTTGCCTCAGCAATTAGATTTTTTACATTCATATGCTTTTATGTAGTTGTTTTCTATCACTTTGTTTTAATTTGAAAAATTTCCTTTAGCACTCTTTTAGGCAACCTAGTAGTGATGACTCCCTCAGTTTTTGTTTCTCTAGAAACTCTTTATCTCCACTTTTTAATAAAAGGCAGTTTTACTGGGTAAATTATTCTTGCTTGGCACTTTTTTTGAATATATCATCCTACTCTCTTAGACAGCAATGTTTCTGCTCAGAAAATTTCCAATAGTCTTATAGTTGCCTCCTTGTATGTGACAAGTCACTTCTCTTGCTTTTTTTTCAAAATTTTTTGTTTCTGACTTTTTATAATTTAATAATAATGTGTCTTGATATAGAGTTCTTTAAGTCCCATATTTTGGGGAATTTTGAGAACTCATGAATTAAGATGTTCATTTCCCCTCCCAAGATCTGCAGGCGTTTTTCACCATTACTGCTTTAGATAGGTATTCTAACCTCCCTCTTTTCTGCTTCTCTCACAATGTGTATATTGGTTTTCTTGATTGTTCCCCATAAATTACATATGGTTTCATTTCTCATTTTCAGTCTTCTCTAATTTCTCTTTCTTAAAGTGAATATTTCAAATGGCCTATCTTCAAGTTTGTTGATTGTTTTTTCCTGTTGGAACATTTGCTTGAAATTTTAAATCGCCTGATTGCATTTTTCAGATCCAGAATTTCATTTTTGTATGATTTCTATTTTCTTACTGAAAATTTTCTTTTTTCTTATGTATTATTTTCCTGATATTATTTTGTTGTCTATCTGTGTTCTCTTGTAATTCATTGAGCATCTTTAAGATGACTGATTATTTTGAATTCTTCACCAAGTAGTTCATGAATCTCCATGTTTTTAAAGATGGATACTGAAGTTGTATTAATTTACTTGAGTGATGTCTTGTTTGCTTAACTTTTTGTGATTTATAGAGCTTTATGTTGGTATCATAGCTTTTAAAGGAACAAATGCTTCACATACTGCCTTCACAGACAGAATTGTTTAAACAGATAAAAATCTTTCTCTGTTGAATCTTCAGACTGATAGGACTGTCTCCAGTATTGTAGTAAAGCAGGTTGAGAGCCTGGTCATGTGACTACTGATAGGTCCACAGTAGGGTCTTTTATAAGTAGTATAGATAGGTGTGGTTTTCAGTAGGTCCCTGGGTGGGTTCATGGGCAGGCTGGGAAGGCAGCACTACCTCTGTACTGTGGCAGAATGGATCACAGGGCTGCTTTAGGGTCTACAGTCAGGCCTGAGGTTGGCGGATTATTACTTGGATACAGAAAAGCATATCTACTGTTGAGTCTCTGGGAGGGGAGGACTGCCTCAGTACCATAATAGAACAGGGCTAAAGACAAGTAACAGGACTGATTCAGATTCCACAATCAGAACCAAGACCGGAGTGGGGTACCTGCCTCCAGGAGTGGAGATAGA